ATTTACTTAAGAAAAATATTTTAAATTCTATTCTAAAACAAAGAACCTTTTCTTCTTTCTTACTTGCTCTCAAATAACGAGAATGAGAGGGATGTCTTCTTTCCTGGTAGTAATATATGAGGATGTGTTCAGAGAGCTACTTTTTCTTCAGAGCTCTCACTGCATGACTTACGGGTAGCTGAGCTCCTCTGTGGAGAGATCGTTGCAGCTACACAGTTATTATGCCTGTAAGGATAGATGCCATAAAGTTACCTGGAGAAAAATCATAGCATAGCACCCTTTGTGGCAGCAAAGGTGCTCCTGTATTTCATGTAACGTTGCCTAGAATCAACAAGGGAGCAGATTGCATTTTTCGGGTGCTGCAGTGGAAGTTTCCCTCATTTTTTTGTGTGGTGAAAGGCACACTGACTTGAATATGCCTCCTGTCTCTCTGTGACTCCGTGGATATTCTCACCTGAAGAAACTGCCTCTCATTGTCTTCTGAGCTTTCTCTCATTCCGTAGGTGTGGCACTTTGAAAATGTTTACCAGATCAGAACCTCAGACCCCCTTGAAAACCTTCAACAGAAAATAAATTGACTGGAAAAGTGTCTGAATAGCAATGATACATGCCGTTTTAAAAGAAATATTGTATTTATGAAACTACCATGTACTGTTCACTATGCAGCTTCCTTTTAAATAAAACATTTCATGATCAGGGTTAAGAAAAAACAGCTGTTTCCTCCCTCCTCTTCCCCCTCCGAGTCACTCCATTGGTTCAGTTTGCAGCATCATCCCAAGTAGTCACATTGACATAACCAACATAAAGTGCGTGGAATACAGCAGAAAATAAGTATTTGGGGAGAAGTAGGCACCTTTTAAATTACTTTTGCTACCAGAATTGTTCTTATGAAACTGTTCTCTGATGAAACATCAGTGATTGCCTGTTTTAAGTACTGTTCTGAAATTATTTGACTTTTCCCCACTAAATCTTCTGACCTGAAAAGAGGAATCATAACTCTGATCAGTTTCCTCTAGACAATTTTTTTCCTTCTGCATATTCCAAACATTATCTGACTTTGTGCCTATACTTTCAGTCATGGTGCCGGATTGAAACCATGGCATCAGAGAAGTGGGAGGTGAAGAAATCCAGATGAGCACTTCAAAGTACCATCTTTCTTCCTTGGTCAAAAGTTTTTTGTAGTAACTGGTTCTCCTGTTCAAGTTATTCCTTTTGGCAAAAATCTGTGAATATATTAGGGCAACTGCAGTTACTTTTCTGTATTGTTGAGCAGTGTCTTGTACCTTGGCACTCTGATTAGCCGTGTTTTGGCAGCAGATCTGTTGTCTTAATCAGTTGGCATAAATAGGTTTCTAAGTGTAGTACTTGTGGTAGTCTTATTTCATGCTCTAGTGTTGACCTGAAGTATTTTTGGAATATTCTGTGTATTCCAAATGAATTATTGTGAGAAGTTGGATCTTTTGATTTAAATTAATTAAAATTTTGAAGATACGGTGTAACACCTTAAATTAGATTGGTAGAAAGAGAAGAGTATGAATTATTTTAATTGATTTCATGGGTTTTACTTTTACATTAGATAACTTATCTTAATCACCTTTTTAATTGAGATAGGGCAGGATAACAATGGTAAGCATCCCTTTCAGATGTGCTGTGTTATTAATTAAGCTTTGTCTTTTAATGCACTGCAGAGTTTTCTCTAAACATATTTCAAATTTGAGCATAATTGAAAGAAATAGTTTCAAATTAGTTTGATATGCAGTAGGTTGTTGTCATTTGGGTGGAACTTGCATGTTTCTGTGTAATTGTTCTTTCTGTTCTCAATTCCTTTTACTTGCCGTGTTCATGCTTTCAGTGCTGCTTTGCACAAAAGAACAGGCATGAAGTGCAAAACCTGCTCAAGAAATGCCATGCTTGGAGTTCCTCCCTGAGTAGCTGCCTTCTGTTTGATACCACACAAAGTTGCTGATGGGATCTGACTTGCACGTCAGATGGCGCATTTCTCTGTTCTGTTATAGTCTCATCAGTGGCTGTAGTGTGGAGGTAGCAAGGACAGTCCTTGCTCTTGATTTTCTCCGTACAAATACAGCTGAAATGTCATGCATAACTTACAGGTTGTTTTTTCAGGTTTTTTAAGAGAACTTTTAAGAAGTTGTTCTGTACTTCATTTTAAGAAATCATATTTAAATGGATGAAGTCATGTCTTTCAAAAATGGCAGGGTGAAAGGTTTACAATTTCATTCAGCGCTAATTCACACAACTGTATTCAAACAAGACTAATTTGAGTAATATATTTCTGGAAATGAGAATTTGAACTCTTTGGTGAATATTATATCCATTCGAAATGTTTTGTCTGTTGATCGTTCTGACTGAAAATTATGATGAAAACTAATCTACATAGCAGTGACCAGATGAAAATCCAACGTAGAACTATTATGCATGTACTTAGCTTGACAAATTAAATACTGTTTTTGAGAGTCTATACAGTTAAATAAAGTTCTACCGGGTTTAAGCCATTTCTTCAAAAGATTTTCAATCATATGGAAAGAGGTGAATAAGGCATTATTTTAGAAATCTAAAATAATGTAAATCTAGTGGATTAAAAGAGTCTCCTATACAAATGGCTTGGTAAATGGAAAATGTTTGAGGAAACGTGTGTACAACTGTGTGTTTGTTGTAATTACTTGAGCTCCAGCCTTGTGGTTTTTAATGAAGACTGCAGCCCACCTGCAAAAGATTTGACTGACTAGCCCATATACAAAGATTTGGAACCTGCTAGTTATAGCAATGGTGATTTCACATCTACTCTCCTTACTGGTAGAAGGTATCTCTTGATATCTAATGCTCGTCTTTTTTAGTAAAACTTAAAGTTATTATTGTTTGCTTATTGGCAAAAACTAAATTTTCTTTTGTAATACCTTTTCAGATATATTGTCATTACATGGCCTTGTCTGTATCTTCTTTTGCCTATTCAAGCAAGCCAAATTCTGTCATGTTTTCTTAAGCTACAGTTTTTTGCTAGGTTCTGACTTTTCTTTAGACTCCATGTTTGAATCTTTCTTGAAGAGTGTTTGTCCAATGTGGGTGTAGTACCCCAGCTGGGACCTCTCCAGTGCTAAGTAAACCAGGAGATTCTGTGTTTTACAGCCTGTAATCCCAATATTGTATTTTCCTTTTACAACAGCATGACTTTGACTCATGTTGAGCTTTTGACCTGCCACAAGATCCTGGTACGCTTCAGAAGGAATCAGTTATTCCTAATTGTGTAGTTATGTAGCAGATTATTCTTACCCAATTGTAATACCTGGTATTTGTCCCTCTTGAGCTTTTTCCTCTTTCCAGATTTCTTCTGGTTTTGTCCTTTGTGTGAAGTGTGTCTTTCAACATACTGGACTTTTTAAATTGATATATTGCTAGTTTAATAAGCATGCTCATTTAGATGATCAGTACAAACACTGGACAGAGCACAATCTGCTGTAGGCATTTAGGGAAACTCCACCTGAACTGTACCTTCTTTTACAGTAAATCATTGAGAATTATTCTCCACAGAATAAGGTTATTTTTCTTGATCAGCTCTGCACCTATCTTAAACAAATTTTATTTAGACTGTGTTTCTCATGAAACTGTTGAAAGACCTTCTAAAATTCTGATACAAGTCATCTACTGGGTCTACCCTATAAACAATCCTCCTATCTTGTTGCTCTGGTGAGTACTTTTTTAATTAAAATCTGTAATTTATTTTTTTATTGTTACACTTTATCGTGGAATATACAACAAAAGAATAAAAAACATGAATCTGTTTCAAGTTTTTAATTAAATGTAGATGAGAGAAAGGTTGAATATAATGAAACATCATACTTATTTCTAGAATGCCTAATTGTCTTACACACTGAAAGGCACCTGATGATTTTCTGCTTCAAAGTTTCATTCATTTCTTGAAAGCCATGGTTTTAATCATTTGTGCTACATATGTATCCGGTCTAAGCTTCTTTGTTTTGTTGCTCTTTGGTGTCCTGAAGGATAACTCCAGCTATTCTGAGATAAGTACTGGTTTTGTGACATGTTTCGTAGTCTAGCAAAACTTAGTGCAGGATTGTAAAAGCCCTCTACCCTAAAACACTTTAACTCCCATCTTCCTCCTTTTAATAAGTGTGATGAAAAGTAAAATAATGCCAGATGGGGATTTTTTTGTTTGGGGCCTTTTGTTTTTGGTAATTTGGGAGTACTCAAATGTATTTTGGCCTCTTGGACCTGGGAAATAGGATTCTGTAGATCATATTCAGGACTAAAATGAAAACAGTTGGATCAATGCCTTGTCTAGTGGTATTTATTGTTGAACTGTGACCTGTGCTTTGTGAATTAAATTTACTTTTTTTCCATCTATGCTAGTACTGGCTTAAGGTATGTTTCACTATTTAGGGTTTGGGGTTTTTTTTTCAGTTTAATTATTAGGTTCCCTTGATGCTTAGGCCAATTCCGACATTTTAAGGCAGTGTTTTGTTATCTGGTTTAGATATATGGTTTGTATCAGCTCAAAAGAAGATAGCACTGCAGTCCCCAAAGCACTTTTTTGTTATGAACTAATCCATACAATATCACATCTATGAAAAAAATATTAGATCCCTTTTACAGGTAGGAGGTCTCATAAGTCTGTTTTTTGTTACACAGGTGTTCATGGGTTAGAAGTGGGAGGCAGAACCAAGACATCCTACAGTGGTGGTATGCAGAGGGCCACTAGTAGACCTGACTTCTAACCTCTCCCACATGTATGTTTACTGTAAGATCTTTGCTAAACTGGGTAGTCTTATATTTTCAGGAGTGCCTTCTTGTTTTAAATGCCACCCACTTGGGTTATCAAAATGGAAGGACTTAGAGGCGTGTCAGAAAAGAGACTTGGGCACTGCTGAACTGAACTGCAGGTGCTGTGACAATAAAAAACTGTCCTCCTTCAGGTAAGGAGATGTTTCTACACTCATAATGGCATGGCCTAGAATTCCCCACAGCTGGCAATCTGAGACTTGTGTGTCATTAACTCTGTCTCTCTTTGGAGTTTCAGTTCCTAACCTGGTCCATTCGCAGTCTTAAATCCTTTCCTTTATTTAGGTGCTTCTACTGTGTCTGTCAAAAAGTATGGAAGATAGAGCTTCTTTTTTGTTTTGTTTAACCTCCCATGTGGCAGCTGCAGATTTTGTGTAGAATTTATGTGGTTTCAGACACGAGTCTAATGGTTATAACGCTCATAAGGTAGTTTCATGAAAGTAGGAGAGGCCAGCACACCTGAGCTGGCAAAGGGAATGGGCTCAGAGCTTTTGTGTGTTCACTCGCTGGAGCTCGTTTTGGACGGTAAGGCCAGAAACAATATTACTAAATGTATTGGGTAATCCCTCATGACAGGATGTCAGGAAAAAAACCCACTGCAATCTGCCAGTAACTGTGAATTTAGAATGTGGAAACAGCAGCGTGCCTCACTGTAAGCTCACACCTAGTTCCATAAAATTTACCTATTTACACAGCTAAAACACTGTACAATCTTAAGCCATATTACCCATCAGCACCTTAGGATAAATTCTGTCAGGCTAAAAATACTGCAATATCTTCATAATAAAACATAATAGGAGAAAGCAGCTTGTATTCAGGGTCCTTATTTTTGCTGTATTTTGGTTGTCATTTTTAAATTGTGGAAATTTGAGGCAATTTATAGATACATTTATTATTTAATTGGAAATTCCCCAAGTAGAAAATATTTCCTTTTTTTTGTGTGTATGTGGTTAAAGACTCTGGTAAAAATGAGCTTAGCCAGATAAACAGAGGAGGTTTTATTATTGCTAAGAATTAATTTGATAATTTTGTCCACAACCATAATCAGCTTTTAAAATCATGCATTATATTTTCTGTTGAAAACTAACCAATATATTTTTACTGTGAGGAAAGCATGTGCAGCTGCACATCTCCTGTGGGAGAGGCTTACTTACTGACAGGTGAATCTGAGTCCATTCTATGATTCTTTTTTAGGTTAAAGTAGCAGAGGAAAATGTTTTAATCTTAGATTGTCTCAGAAAATATTTTTACTGTTTTTTCTAAAGAAATTCTGGCAACCACCAACTTAAAGGACTTATGATGTTTAAAAACAAATGCATGCAGCAATTAAATTATCCTTTGTTATATGTAGACTGACTCCTGAGGAATTTTATAACTTTTCTCATGAAGAAGCAGAGGTTTTACTTACCATGAAAGTTGAGCATTAAAATATGAACAGCCTTGCAAGCCTTGACTTAAAAGTGACTATGTTTAAATGGTTGTAGCAGAAAAAGGCAACAATTTCCAATGGTTTTAAGCTGCCTTTTAAAGTTGTGTAGCCACTCAAAAAGGCAGAAGGATCCACAAAATGCTTAAAATGCTCAAGAATAAAACTGTCACACAGGTTTGGCATTTAAAAAACAGAGATCACTATACTAGTTGTTAAATGTAAAGCCACATATACTGTCTTTGAATGTAACAAAATTTAAAGAAATAAAACCAAACAGGTATACTTTAAGAAACTAGAATCATATGAATCAAGGCAGAGATGGGAGATGGACAACTTTAGGAAGCTGTTGCAATAATACCTTCTAATTGTTTGCTCAGATAAAATTCTTGTTGAATTATTTTCCTTATTGTCAAAACACCTGTTGAAACGAAGTATTTATCCTTCCCATTCCCATTGAATTTTCCAGCTTCAGAATTAGAAACATATTGTAATACCTACCATTGAGAAAACCTTGAATTACAACAGTGGTATTGAATACATATTCAAGATCAGCTACTTAGCAGAGACTTTGTTCATTGCAATCTTTGTGTAACTGATAAATGCTTTACAATGTCAATGTTTGCATAATGTAGCAGCCAGTTGCATGTCTCCCATGTTAACCTCCAGAATCTTTAATACTTCACACTTTATCTTGGCAGGTAAAAATAATTATGATAGCAATCAATGTATATAATACAGATTTTAAAATATTTAGTTTTGTTAACAGCACATACAGCACAATAATGTAGATAATTTCAGATCAAAAAAAATTGATAGAGATAATCTAAGAGCTTTGAGTTTGTTTTGATTGTCATTATTTCAAATACGTATTTCCTCATAATTATTATAGTGTGTTCTTTTGAGGATTTTATTTATGTGCTCTTCAGAAAATGATATGGTAAATATTTGATATTAAAGTATACAGGCACACATTTATAGTTTGTTAGGGTAAGTGACAGCCTAACAAAAAGCAATGTTATGCCAATTAATTCTGCAAGGCTCATTTAGAATCAGACTGAACTGCTGATGAGAGAATAATCAATGAAAATTCTGTGTTTTCATATATGAATTGTTCCTTTGCAATTTTTTTTTAAGAATAAAGAGAATTTTCTATGTTTGGCATTTAAAGAGCTTTGTTGTAACAGTTGAGTGCGAACTGTCAAAAAGAAATAGGCAGAATCCTGGAAACGATGAGTCCAATTATCATAGAATCATTGTAGAATCGTAGAATGGTTTGGGTTGGAAGGGCTCTTAAAGGTCATCTAGTTCCAATCCCCCTGGCCATGGGCAGGGACACCTTTCATTAGACCAGGTTGCTCAGAGCCCCATCCAACCTGGCCTTGAACACTGCCAGGGATGGGGCATCCACAGCTTCTCTGAGCAGCATGTTCCAGTGCCTCACCACCCTCACAGTAAAGAATTTCTCCCTAATATCTAATATAAACTTGCCCTCTGTCAGTTCAAAGTCATTCCCCCTTATCCAATCACTACATGCCATTGTCAGAAGTCCCTCTCCAGCTTTCCTGCAGCCCCCTTTATGTACTGGAAGGCTTCTGTAAGGTGTCCCTGGAGTCTTCTCTTCTCCATGCTGAACAATCCCAGCTCTCTCAGCCTGTCATCACAGGAGAGATGCTCCATCCCTCTAATCATCTTACTGGCCCTCATCTGGACTCGCTCCAGCAGGTCCATGTCTTTCCTGTGCCGAGGACCCCAGAGCTGGATGGAGTGCTCTCCCCAGAGCAGAACAGAGGGGCAGAATCCCCTCCCTCACCCTTGGTCCTTCTTGGCAGGACCACTCTCAGTCAGTTCTCTACTCAGCTTGTATTTGTGCTTGGGTTTGCCCTGCCCCAGAAGCAGGACCTTGCACCTGGCCTTGTTCTCGTGAGCAATCCTGTAAGAACCTTTCAGAAATCAAAGCATTTAAATACAGGGATTTGATTTGTAATTGCAAAGTGTTTCTTATTCCAGAATTACAAATATTAGATACAGATAGTTAAGATATTATCCTATGATTTTTAAGTAATTCAGTCTAATTGACATGGGCTTTTTAATGTGTATATACACGTAAGTATAGATAGTTATTACACATATAATTATATATATATTCACATTATATGTAAGAAGAAGAAAATCTGGGGTTTTTAGCGGGGTGATTTTAGTAAGGTACTGCCAAAGATTTATTTTACCTGACAGTATACTTTGACCCTGCCTGAAATAGGATCTTATTGGTGACATAATTATTGTAAGATGATGAAAGTAGAACTGCAATATGCCATCTTTCCCCAAATGTTTGAAAGCATTGTCAGCTTTTGAATTACTGTCATATTTTTTCAATTGTTTTTAGTACAAGTCAAATTTGACTTGCCTTAGTAATATAAAGAATCTTATTGTCTTTAGCAGGGCTTGTCAAATGAATAAGAAACATTGTCTTCCCTTTAAAATTGATTAAAAAAAATCTCCCCAAATTATTTTAATTTGAATGAGGTGAGAATCTGGTAACTATTGAAGTGTTTTCTGTGCTGAATAATAAGGAGCATGATAATTGAAACTTGGCATAGAAATGAGTAGCAAATTTTACTCTTGCTCCTCTTTTTAAATTGGGAATTTGAATGTTTCATAGCATAGAAGTAGGTAACAAAATACACTTAGTACTTGATATTCCAGAAGTACCATTCAAAAAAAAAGAATACTTAAAGATACACTTAACATGTAAAACATATTATACTGCTTTCATGTTAATGTATTTCATATTTTGTAGATATATATTTCATAACTTGTGGATATATATAAAATAATTTGTTGAATTTGTAAATGTTATCTATATGTGTAACAGTTTGAAGGATGGCGACAACTACAACTGCAATTGTTTACCCTTAATCTTTAAATAGTTCTTTTTTCCTACCACAAGACTTCATAGCCATTTTTGGGGAAAAGATACATATTGCTTTCTGATGCTAAGACAAGATGATCACAGAAGGGAGTGGGACAAAATGTAAGCCTGGTTAGAAAGAGTAGTAAGACAAGGAGCATGTGGGGGAGAAAAATGAGGAAAACACTAATGGCTGAGCAGGAAGAAGAGTTGGAAGTAAAGACATGTTTGATTAGTTTCTTTCCAAGAGAGAAACCAGCTTGGGCAGAGAGGAGCCTGGGATGAAATCACAATGAACGAGGTGAACGTGTCCTGAGAATAATTGGACTGAGACTAGAAGTCAAAGACAGAAAGGAGACTAAACTAGCTCAGCTTCAAGGGGGCTGGAAGGAAATTGTGGGTGCACTAGAAAATGTTTCCCACAGGGCTCACAGAACTGTGTTTCCAGTGATCTCTCTCTCATCCCTTCCTGTGCCTGCTCAGGTGAAATACATGTCATTCTTTTTAACTGCTACTCTTTGTAGACTGCTGCGGTATTTTAATTTACTTTATTTCTGTAATCATAAAGAAATTGAGCTAGTCTGAAAGTTATAGTCTTGCTAACAACCTGTGAAGGAGTTATGTTCCAGATGATGGGATTTTTGATGTTTAAATGAAGTTTGTTTTAACTTTAACCTTGGCTTTAGAAAATGCACCATTATTTTAGAGTTGCTTTTGCAAATGGGAATTTCGTGGTTTGTGCAGCTGCTTGTTGCTTGGAGAGCAGATCTCTTCCTCCATCTGCCAGAAAGTTCTCAGTGATGGTTGGCTAGTGTGTTGTTTTTCTGAAAGGTTAAGGTCTGATCTGCAGAAGCAAATCACAGCTAAAATGGTGATTTCAACAGCTAAAGCATAAATATCAAATACTCAAGAAAAAAAAAAGATTCTAGG